AACGAATGAGCAAAATAGGGAAATTCACACAAATACTTATGATTAGACCACGGGCAAGCTCCACTCCTCGCTCAACGTTTTTTTTTTCAAAAAAGGAAACTTAATTATGAATTCTACACAAATAAATTAAAAATATTTTACTCTAAGAGTTTTGAAGGATGTTTTTATTGTAAAAAATGTACTGGTAGGCGCATTTTACGTCGTTTTAAATCATGTTTTAGTGCATTTTTTTACCCAGTTTTGGAAATTTAAAAAACCTGCGTTCATTTCCGTTACGTGAAAAGACTGGGCATGACAACAGTGGGCATGCCTGGGCATGGCTTCACATTTCCGGCTTATTTTTAGTTCAATGGGTACCGTATTTACTCGTTTGAGCGCCGCCCCCGATTGAGCGCCGCCCCCGAATGAGCGCCGCATTTGAGATCATTTTTTTTAAAAGAGCGCCGCCTTCGAATGAGCGCTGCACTAAAAAGTGTCAAAATGGGGACATTTAGTAACAAAAACCTTTTAAAACTTGTCTATTTTATAGTTAAAAGTTCTTGTCATAATTCACAAATAAAATATTTTTCAAAGAGCGCCGCCCCCGATTGACCGCCGCCCCCGAATGAGCGCCGCATCTGAAGCTCTGAAAATTTAAAGTATACCTTCCTATTCTGTGACTAGGCGTACTGTTCCAGTACTTCGTATTAATGTACAACTAAATGAACTAATTATTAAAAAGTAAACAGACCTTTAAACTGAAGAACTTGATTGGCTTGTATACATTGGTTTCTTTGTCATATAGTTCAATTGCTGTTGCTTGTAAATGTTTTATAAACCAGTACTGCGAAGTAGCGAAATTTCGGGCCGTCTTTCACAACAAATAACATCACAATAACTGCACATCATTTTCTCTTTAATACAGAATCATTTTCCCCGTCCATTGAGTTATAATTTCCAAAACGAACCAGTCGCTATAACGTAAAATAAGCGGGTATTTGTGAACAAAAATGCCGTTTGATATGACACGAGGTAACCAGCGCCATCTTGTCTTCTCCAAACATTACAGATTTTCCCGCCAAAACCCGCCCCCAAAGTCCCGTATGTACCTGACGTCACAAGTGTCATCGACGGGGGGGGACGGTAAAATTTTTTCAAAAATACGCACTAAATCCAATTTTAATCTCTTTACCTTCGCTACTTTTGCTTTCCACATGCCAACAAAACTAGCTTCTTAGCACATACATAGCATACGCTTTATAAAATACTTAAAAAAATGGACCTAAACAATATTGGAGCGACAACAATTTTGGAAAGTTTCTCCGGAAATTTTTCTCACTTGATGAAAAAACTTTTTCATCTCTTTTTTTCTTTTCTTTTTTCACATTATTGTACGTTGGAACAGCACTATAGTATCAATAGTATCAATATATATATAGCCTTAGAATGTTATATTTTATGGCAATATTTTATAAAAATTTCATCGGCAAGTTGCTGAATATTTCAAAAGTATCAACAATTAATAATGTTTCCAAGACCTCTCTGAAAATCAGAAGCAAGTCATTAAAATGATATAATTATATGTTCTATTTCATTTCAAAAAGCAACCAAATGTTCCTCTTTTGTTACGATAGCACTACCCTGGATTCCAAAGCCTTTGACAGCAAATAATAAATTGAAACATTGCGAAAGCTCTGGTTCAACAGGAAGATTCTTTGATTTATAAACCGTGTCAATCACAGAACAGAATTAGTGCTGTTAGTACAGAATCTGTACTAATTACTAAAACCACTAATTCTGTTTTGTGATTGGCACAGTTTAATCAAAGAATCTTCCCGTTGAACCAGAGCCTTCGCGATGTTTCAATTTATTATTTATTGTCGAAGGCTCTGGAATCCAGGGTATGATAGCACACATGCTTTCAATATTTTTCCACAAACTGCTTATTTTGGGCATGGTATAGCGCCGCAGTAACTTTTCAGGATTTTCATAAATCAGCAAGATCTCGCTTGTAAACTTGTTGAAATGTTTTCTCGCTAACCTGTTACAAAAAACTTTAATTAAGAACGAATTTACCAACCTCCAAAATTAATGGCTACCGTAAGCGGTCAGTATAATCTGCAGACTGCAGACCGGGTACAAAATGCAGACTGGGGGTATAAAATGCAGACTGAGGATAAAATGCAGACTGGGGGTGAATTAGGGATATTTTACAAATTTCCACCAAGCCATAGTCGAAATGGACAAAGACACGATGTAGAGGTATTGATATTATATGAATGTTTATATTATTCTCATTCAACCGTAAAACTTGATAACTTTAACACATTTCTTTATATAAAGTTTGTTCGTTCACTGCAACCAGGTATATCAATCATGTTTCGCTCACTACTCTGGTTTAAATAAATGATTACAAAGCCCAGTCGAATTGTAATCAAGACCCAACGTTTCGACACTCCAGTCTAGTGTCTTCATCAGGGGTGATCTAAAACTGCGATCGTGTCTTCTTAAATACCCAAGGGATGACGTCACCTGCCAAGAAGATGCATATATTTCTCTGGCAAATAGGCGCCGTCATCCCTATTCAAAGCATGATGACTCATATTTATATGCCACGCTTCTAGGCAAAGTCTTTGACCATAGCGATTGTTTGTGGTAATTACTTTAGAGTTTTCCCACGCCATTTTGTGTTTGGTGTAACATACATGTTCGGCTAAAGCTGATTTTCCCTTGTCTAAAGTTGAAACAGCCTTTTGATGTTCTTTTAGCCGTGTACCAAACTGGCGTTTAGACTGACCCAAATACTCTTTGTCGCAGTCACCGCATGGTATAGAATATATAGCATGAGTCTTCTGATTTTTTTCAACAGGATCTTTTGGCTTTGCGAAAATATGGCCTAAAGTCAAAACGTTTGGCTTTGTTTACATACGGACTGTAGAGCACCTTTAACCGACCCAAGAGGTGTTACTTAAAGTCGAAATTACAGCAAACATTGCATCGCTTTAGCCGAGCTTAGTCATTTTTGAGGTTATTTGAGAAAGCTTCAAACATTTATTACAGTAATCAAATTGCTTAGCGCTCATCCTTGAACTAAAATTCATTGAGCCGGCCCGTAGATCTTATGTGCGCGATATCTGTTTGTTTTCATTACATAATTACGCCGCCACTTCACTTCATACTTGCGTCTCGTGTCTGATTGGTTGGTTGTTTTAGTGTGGCCGGAAATTTCAAGTAAGTGGCGGAATTAATTTTTATTTAGGACGGTTGTAGGCACTTTATTTTTCCTTCGCCCTTTTTTTTTCTTCGTCCATTTTTCTAACTCGCCACTTATTCAAAAATCCTCAAAACCTACAATAAAATAAAGCGACTGCTACGCAGGCTAGGCTGGAGGTATCGTTCCAGTTATTTTTAGTTCAATGGGTATACCTTCCTATTCTGTGGCTAGGCGTACTGTTCCAGTACTTCGTATTAATGTACAACTAAATGAACTAATTATTAAAAAGTAAACAGACCTTTAAACTGAAGAACTTGATTGGCTTGTATACATTGGTTTCTTTGTCATATAGTTCAATTGCTGTTGCTTGTAAATGTTTTATAAACCAGTACTGCGAAGTAGCGAAATTTCGGGCCGTCTTTCACAACAAATAACATCACAATAACTGCACATCATTTTCTCTTTAATACAGAATCATTTTCCCCGTCCATTCAGTTATAATTTCCAAAACGAACCAGTCGCTATAACGTAAAATAAGCGGGTATTTGTGAACAAAAATGCCCTTTGATATGACACGAGGTAACCAGCGCCATCTTGTCTTCTCCAAACATTACAGATTTTCCCGCCAAAACCCGCCCCCAAAGTCCCGTATGTACCTCCTACGCAGCCTGTTCGCGGGTCCGAGGTTTTCTCACAGGCTGCTTTAATACTGCAGCAACACATTCCATTCCGATTGTTTCAACTTGACCAATCAGGAAACGGCATGACATAGGTTTCCCGCCAAATTCAGTAGTGGACTAATTAATTAATTGTTCAGTGCTAAATATATCTCAGTGTTTACTGCTGTTAAAAATATATTACACTTGTGCTTGAAATAATCAACTTGTTTATATTCTATATGACGGGAGAGGTGCCCTTGGTATAGCTGATCTGATCAAGGCCGGTATCAGTATTAAATGTTGATGTAAACAATATTCTGACAGTAACGATTTATTTGTTTGCAAAAATGTATGTTATGAAACGGTTGTTGTCTAGTTGAGGCTGAAAGTTACCCTAAGACATAATCCATGGACCCAGCTTTCCCAGGAAGTTAGTGATTTTTGTGTTAGAAAGAAACTCTCAACTGTGTTAAGAAAAACTGGGGAGGATAATCTAATGAAATTCAGTCTGTGGCTCTGTGCTGCTCAAGCAAAGAAATGGTGAAATGAGCGCGACCGCCTATGACGGCTATGTGTTGGGTATCCTCAAATAATCTCGCTTGATTGAGGTTATATAATGTACTTAATAATACACTTAAATACTACTGATATATAGTTTTAGTTTTCATTTAGGCTTGTACAAAAAATCTGTAAAGCAAAAGTGCTCGCGGGTTTTAGGAGTTCTCAAACTTCTATGACTATAGCCTGCGAACAGGCTCACTGGGAGAAAGGTGAGCCTGCACGGAACCATGCGTTTTATTCAATCATCCCCTTTTCGCATCTGCTAAACGCGAACCAATCAGCGTCGACTGCGATAAATAAACTGTCAAATTGACGCAAGGTGTGTACATTGTGCAACGAAGAAATACTGAATATTAAAATGTATACAAAATGTATATATAAACAATAATACAAAGCATTAGCGGGCCGCACAAAATATTACTCGAAAAAATGGACAAAAAGTAAAGGCTATAGCCTTACTTTTTTGCTGTTTTTTTGCCCACTTATGAAAAATGACATAAGTGGCTAAAAATGGACGAAAAGTTAAGGCTATAGCCTTACTTTTTTGCTGTTTTTGGCCCACTTATGAAAACTGACATAAGTGGCTAAAAATGGACGAAAAGTTAAGGTTATAGCCTTACTTTTTTGCTGTTTTTGGCCCACTTATGAAAACTGACATAAGTGGCTAAAAATGGACGAAAAGTTAAGGCTACAGCCTTACTTTTTGGCCCATGTATAAACATTAGGTTTTTACCCCTGCCTAAATATGAGGTGTTGACCCTATATCAGTGTAAGATAAGGTTTATACCCCTGCCCCTATATGTAACATAAGGTGTTCACCCCTATATCAATGTAAGATAAGGTTTATATCCCTGCCCCTATATGTAACATAAGGTGTTCACCCCTATATCAGTGTAAGATAAGGTTTATACCCCTACCCCTATATGCATAAGGTGTCCACCCCTATATCAGTGTAAGATAAGGTTTATACCCCTGCCCCTATATAAAACATAAGGTGTTCACCCCTATATCAGTGTAAGATAAGGTTTTCACCTCTGCCCCTATATGTAACATAAGGCATTCACCCCTATATCAGTGTAAGACAAGGTTTATACCCCTGCCCCTATATATAACATAAGGTGTCCACCCCTATATCAGTGTAAGATAAAGTTTTCATCCTTGCCCCTATATGTAACATAAGGCATTCACCCCTATATCAGTGTAAGATAAGGTTTATACCGTACCCCTGCCCCTATATGTAACATAAGGTGTCCACCCCTATATCAGTGTAAGATAAGGTTTATACCCCTGCCCCCATATGTAAGATAAGGCGTTCATCCCAAAATCAGTGTAAGGTAAGGTTTATACCCGGCCTGCCCAGGGTTATATGTAGCATAAGATGTCCACCCCTGTAAGATAAGGTTTATACCCCTGGCCCTATATGAAAGTTCAAAGATTTATCACTTATTTACTGAGACAGAGGGGAACAGTGTGTTTTGTGGACCCGAAACCGTCAATGTTTCCCGAGGCGAAGCAGAGGGAAACATCGATGGTCGAGGGTCCACAAAACACACTGCTTTCCCGAGGTCTCAGTAAATAAGTGTTTTATTATATATCAATAGTCAAAGAAACAACAAATTAAAGAACAAATGAACGTACAGTAAATACACGAAATATTTTATTGTTAAACACTGGCTACACTTCAGTTGCTTAAAGCTAAAGTTTTAATTACGTACTAGGCATGTCCAAAGGTCGCATCTTCGATAACATATTATCATGTCCAAAGGTCGCCGGTCGATAATATATTATCTCCCTCTCGCGCTGTTGCCTAGTTTCGTCACTCTCACGTGATATGCTCTCAACCAATAAAACACTAGAAAAATGCGACTTTGACTATTGATATATAATAAAAGCTGTTCACGCCTATATCAGTGTAAGATAAGGTTTATACTGCACACCTGCCCCTATATGTAACATAAGGTGTCCACCCCTAAGGTATCAGTGTAAGATAAGGTTTATACCCTTGCCCCTATATGTAACATAAGGTGTCCACCCCTATATCAGTGTAAGATAAGGTTTATACCCCTGCCCCTATATGTAACATAAGGTGTCCACCCCTATATCAGTGTAAGATAAGGTTTATACCCCTGCCCCTATATGCAACACAAGACAGTATATTTGCTTGTTGTCGGTATAAATTGCCGTGATATAAACACTTTAATTGGGTTTTTATTTAATTTTATGTTCTTGCAAAGCCTAATTGTTATATCTTGATCATTTACTTATATACTGTAGAAGTAGAAAAATATACTGTAAAGACCTATAAATAGTTGTCGAATAAAGTTCAATATTTTAAAAACAAAGGCTTTGTTTTATACATACGGACTGTACCCTACCTTTAAACTAAAAAATAATACCGAAAAGTGAAAACCCTTTAAAAACTTACCATTAAGACAGGCAGTTCTTTTATTCAAGCGTTGTCTCTGTATCCATGGAAGAATTTCCAGTACAGCGATGTGGCGAAATTCCCGGCCGTCTTTCACAACATATAACATCACAAATATAAAGTCAATATAAACTGCACGTATTTTTCTCTTTACCACAAAATCGTTTTCTCTGTCCATTCAGTTATAATTTCCAAAACTAACCAGTCGTTATAACGTAAAATAATCGGGAATTTTGTGAACAAAAATTGCCGTTTGAATCACACGAAGTAAAACAATACAAATTTTCCCGCCAAAAACTCTGTGGTGAAGGCGAAGTCCCGTATGAAACTGACGTCACAGGTCATACTATGGTGGCCCATGAGTGCCATCAAGCATTTCTTACAAATATAATTATTTATTGATAAATTATTTTATTTTTAATAACTTTTATTATTTAAAACGCGTAAATTTAATTGTTTTTAAAACCAATATCACTTTGTATTTAACTACTAAATGAATGTCATTAGGGTTTTTTTTTATATTATAGTTTTTTATTTTAAATTTTAAACTAAAATAAAAGTAAATTAAAATGAAATGAAATCGAAACGAAATGTAAAGTATTTGTAAAATATTGCCGTGGC